ACTACTACCAGACTTGATAGATACCACCCCTCTGACCTCCAGTGATATATTAGCATCTCTCCCTGCTCCTGCTAAAGAAGGATATGATACGTCAGATCAAAGCTCCAGCAACTTAAGTCAATCTGAACCTCCTGGTGATTTGGCTCCGGTGGACTTCTCATTTCCCTCTGCAGAAGAAACAAATTCATTTCAACCCGAATCAGATCCTGGACCAGATACTAAACAAGCTTCTGGATCAGTGCCTTTTGTTGAATCTGGTGTCACTCCAGATTTTTTTGACAGACCAGTTACACCCGGATCAAATTCAGTCGAACCTGGACGGGATTCGGGTTTAGCAGGTCAAGAAATTGGAGAAAATAGTGAAGAGAAACCAAAGGAGACAAACTCTCCCACGACAGATCAAGAATCTGGGCCAGTGTCTACTTCCAAAGTAGAAGATTCAAGAGTAGGTTTGTCACCGTCAGAAACACAGAAGGAGGAAGTGTTAAGTGGCAGGACTTCAGATGCTGGTGGTCCATCAGAAGAGTTGGTCTCCACTGAAAATAAAGAGAAGGCAGATGAGGATAAAGGTAAAGAATGAGCAGCTGTATAATATATAGACGTATATACAATGTGTGCAGCTGCTACTGCACGCCCTTTTAACTCATAAGAGAATCGGGAAATTCTGTTACCATAATCTTGTCCCCCCTTTGTCAAAAACCAAAGCTTCAGAGAGGAAAGAAGTCAAAGAGGAATCAAGGGAGGAAAAAGAGGATAAAAGAAAAGAAGAAAAGAAGAAGAATGCAGATAAAGACTATGAGAAAAAAGGTACACCACAAGAAACTACGTTAGCCACAGTAGCATCCCTGTTGCTAAGAAATATTTCCGTAGCCAATGAGCTAGCGTATGTCGTTCAGTTTTTCTTGACTCTAGAGTTAGGTGTAGCTTCTGTAGGTGCAGCTTCAACAGATGATGTTCACTTCCACGGTCACAACAACCTTTTGTCTGATCTTAAGCGGTCCAGAAGATTTTGATTCCAGGAGGACCAAAGTTCAGTCAACTCTCCAAAATCGCCTATGTCAATTTCCTGGGTAAGACTGCCTGCACTCGTCCCTCACCCTTGACCCCTACCCCTCACCCCTCTAGACGATACCAATGGTTCCATGTGACACTACAATTGGACGTCATCCCTACTTTTTTCCACAAACCAATTATCATCCAGAGACTTTCTCCATCCTGGTTTTCCACGACCTCCAGCCCAACATCAATGATCCTTCCTGTTCCTCCTGACTCCTGTCAATGTGTAACTTGACTGCCGCATGTCTGTCCAAGTCATGTAGCAAGATTAGCTTAACCTAGCATTGGAAGAATGTGTATCATATATTCACAAACACAATTATCACTCCTTCGTCTCCTCTGCCTCTCTTTCCTTCAGACTGCGACTGTAACGGTCACTCCAATCGCTGCAGCTACATCGACTTCATCAACGTGATCACGTGTGTGAGCTGCAAACACAACACACGAGGACAGAACTGTCAGTACTGTCGTCTCGGTTACTATAGGAACCCTTCGCTGTCACTAGATGATGAGAATGTCTGCGTAGGTCAGTGGCACATACACACACAAACACTAGCACATAAGGCAGTGTGTCCTCAAACACAACAGTAATAATCACACTGAAATGTCTCCGCCTGTGCCAGAGTGCGGCTGTGACACTGAGGGCAGTCTTTCCCCTCACTGCTCTGAAACTGGTCCCTGTCAGTGCAAAGTCGGAGTCACAGGGAGGCGCTGTGACTCATGTTTACCTGGGTATACCTGGAGAGGAGGCGGAGCCAGCTGTACAGGTGAACACTTAAGCATGGCATCAGCTGTAACATCATAAAACTAGGGATATCCGATATGCCGATATTGTCTAAACACTTCATTTCCAATTCCGATATCAAACATCAACAATATGCGGCCATTTGCCCCGAAAACTGAGGTAAACCTCTCAGGACCCTACAAGCGATTGCAGCATATTTGGCAAAACCCAAGCATTGCATTATTGGGTTTTCATTATTGGATGAAAAAACGATAACGATTCTTACAGATTTATGCTAATATTGGGTAGATGCTATTAGTTGGCCGATATTATCGGACATCCCTACTTAAAACTATACAGTCTGTTAACCTTTGTTTGCAATGATTTATTTGTCATTTCACTTTTCCTCAGTGAACATATGCGATGAAGAGGCTTTGATTTGTAAAAATGGTGGAACCTGCGTAGATTTTCAGCGCTGCATCTGTCCCAGTAACTTCACAGGTAAACAGTCATTTGACATACTCAGGACATGGAACATCCCAGAAAATATATCGTGTTAGTTACTATGATTTTATCATATGTACAGGTCCACTCTGTGAACAGGTTGTTTGCCTTAAGAAGCACGGTTGTGTCGACAACGCTGCAGATTCCTACGAACGCACGTCCTGTTTTTACCTGCTGACTTTGGGTCTAATGACCTTCACCTACTGTTGAACCAGCACATTAATCTGGAGTCACACTGATTCTACAATGGGTCACCCGATAAAATAAAAAAAAGCCAAAAACTTTTGTTTTGTAAACTATAAACTTTTTTTATATAAAATAATTGGCCTGGAACAGAGAGCCAGGGTCTTCTGATATCACAGTCATGTTTACTTCTGTATGAGCCTGACTTGTAAACTTTGGTACTGATAGTATGTGTTGTTCTTCTAGTTAACTGTTGTTAATAACATTGACAGACTGAATTGACTGTATGAAATGTTTATTTAAACTGGTCAACATCGAACTGAATGTGTAAATAAAGAGCTAAAAGATGTATTAAATTAATTAAACGCTGCGTTCGGGTTATTAGTTATTAATTCACGTTTCACATGTGTAAAAACTATTTTAAAGAGTAGAGCTGTGCATTTCATGTTCAACTATAGTTTTCGGAAGTAAAATAAATATTCTAAATATAACAGCGTGGTCGCTGAGGTTTTTTTCTAAATGACTGTTTGTCAATTTCGAACGCTAAGGTTGTATTTGAACGTATTTTACACAATAAACACTGTTACAGAACCATTTTAGCTGATATAATGTACGTGTTAATAATAATAATAATAATAATAATAATAATAATAATAATAATAATAATAATAATAATAATAATAATAATAATAATAATAATAATAATAATAATAATAATAATAATAATAATAATAATAATAATAATAATAATAATAATAATAATAATAATAATAATAATAATAATAATAATATGTACATGATACATACAAGTACCAAAACAGGTGAACCTGTCCTTGGCGGTTTATGACGTCATCAGAGCGCGTCGCTTGCGATTGAGCCGCACCATGACGATGAGCCGGTGGTGTCGAACCGGGGCGACTTTGGTTGTTGGGGTGGGAGTCGGAGCTGCCGTCACACGTCTGCTGAGTCCCAATGGTGGGAAGGAGGAGCAGGATGGAGTCGGTCTTCTCGGCAGACTCCCCGTGCTCCCGGTACCGAGTGTTGAGGCTTCCGAGCTGGCGGTGTGTATTCGTGTCTCACTCTGACATTGTCACTGTATCAATAGGTTATGGAAAATAAAGTTGGTAGTAAGAAGGCAGACGTTTGTTTTATACTTTTTTATACTTATACTGTGGTTAAAGTTAAGATAAATACGTGAGTTATGGTTAGATTGTGAGGATAAAGACTGGTTAACCTGTACAAATAAATGGTTTACGATTAAATGTCCTTAAAAGAACAGCTAGCCATGTGTTTGTGCGTAACTGGGGTAGCCGTGCTTGTGGGGACCTGTTCGTCCATGTGGGGACAAGTTCTCGCTGAGGAAAATGGTGAATTACGGTTCGGTCAGATTATGGTACATTTTGTTCCGCTTTTTCATTCTACATTACTTAACTGAACTGAAAATAAACCATTTCATGCACCTGTCTGTCTATGGGCAGTCTATCTCAATAAAGATAAAGATAAATTCTACTGCCACTTCGCGGATAAGGCGGTAGCTGACAGGCTGAGTGGTGCGTCAGTCAAACTGCAGACTCGCGGCAAACACACACACACTTTGGCGTCTGAAATTGTTGAACGTTTAGTTCTTTTGATGCCGTAAAGGCGCCCATGTGCAGTATACCGAAAAAATAAGACTTTTTTTCGTGGCGCTGGGTTATTTCTACTTTTAATTTTGATGTTTTCGTAACAAATGGCCATATAATCCACAGGAGTTGTTGGTTTTGTAACATATACTGTTCATATCACATAGATAGTTCCAGACGGGACACGGGAGGCAGTCTGCGGTTAACTTTAATAACAGTTCCACACCTCCGTACATTAACGCCACACCCACTTCCGGTCGGTCCATCACCTTATATGTTCCCTATACAACATATACATAGCTGCCCTCGCTACAGGTTCCACAGAGACCTGTTGACATTGAAATTGTTGAATTTTTGAACATATTTTGTTGTGCCTTATCTGCTTATTTTATATTAAAAGTGAATGAATTAATGTGTGCTTTTCAGGTTTAGGTTATGTCTTGGGTAGTTTTTGTTTGTTTTGTGGGTGTGTTTGTGTTAGTGAGTAAACTTATAATATTATTTAAATTACTTGTTGGAGCTTGTTAAAATTAACTGGAGATTAACTATAAAATTAGCAATGATTTGTCACGCCCCTGAAATGTAAAAAAAAAAAAATGAAAATGTCATTAAATTTACACTTTACTCATGGAGCTGCTGTGGTGGATTTACACCTGCTTTGCAGAAGTTTCTGGGTTCAAATCCACCTGGCCATGATTAGAAATAAAAAATCATAAGTAACTGAACATTTTTCAGAGGGAAAACTATGTATGTGTTACTGTTTACAACTACTTAAGAAAAGGACGTCTAATGAGATTGACCTGATTCCACTGTTGACTTCACCCAGGTCAGTCCAGGTGGGTCGGGGGCTGTGATGAAATATGGTTTTCCATCACTGGCCAACATCAAGACCAGAGAGTCCTACGTCACTTCCTACGACCCTAGGACACGCACTGCGTCTTGGGTAATAGAGAAGCTGAACTCCGGCTCCGTCAGCGGTTCATCAGACAGGAATTTGTGCCAGTTTAAAGAGGATGACAGGTGAGAATAGTAAAAAAGAAAACGTTTTTGAAGTATATTTTATGTCAGGAACTAACCTGGCCTCACACCTTCCAGTGTGCATGTGTTTCATCGGTCGACCAATCAGGACTATAAGGGGAGTGGCTTCGACCGAGGACACCTGGCAGCTGCAGGAAATCACAAGTGGAGTCAGAAAGCGATGGATGACACCTTCTACCTCAGCAACATCGCTCCACAGGTACCACACAAAACTACACACACGTATGTTGTACAAATATATATGTATATATGTGTGCGTATATATATATATACACATATATGTGTATAAATATATACGTATATATGTATAAATATATATGTGTATATATAATGATGCGTGTGTGTGTGTGTATATATATATATGTGTATATATATGTATATATATACATATATATATACAGTATATGTGGTTTGTTTATTGCTATTTGTATTTCTGTGTTGAGAACCCACACCTGAACAAGATCTCCTGGAACCATCTGGAGGCAATGTCTCGCTCTTTGACCAAACGATACCTGAACGTCTACGTCTGCACTGGCCCACTTTACCTGCCCAGGTATCGTGTCCTTTTCTGCGGTGGTGCCTATAGTGCTGCAGTTGGTTGCACTTAAATTAATTTTTACTGTGTGTGCACCTTCAGGCAGGAGGCTGATGGGAAACTGTATGTGCGTTATCAAGTCATTGGAAGAAACCATGTTGCCGTTCCAACACACTTTTTCAAGGTAAATGCACTCTGATCCACTGCTACTAGAGCCTACTAGGGATCGCATCGTAAATCAGTTAAAAATCTATGCAAATGTGTGACAATTCATATGGTTTAAAATAAAAAATAAAAGCCATTTGAGTAGGCTGTGTTATCTCAAAACGTCACTGGTCATACCATGACACTACACACTCCAGTACAGTAGGTGGCGGTATGCGCCTAAAAAGGTTTGTTGTGACCCACTATTAAAGCAAGATGTCAGGTCCCTACGTAGCCCAAGTGACACTGTGGCTCTTCAGGTGCTGATCCTGGAGCAGATGGACGGCAGAGGGGTGGAGCTTCGTTCCTACGTTTTACCAAATGAACCAGTAGATGAGAAGATTCCTCTGGAGCGCTTCCTGGTTCCCATCGAGACCATTGAAAGAGCCTCGGGACTTCTGTTTGTTCCAAACATCATGAGGAGAACCAGCAGCCTGAAGGCCATCACTGACAAGTGAACAGCACCACCCAGTGGTCACTAGGACTGAGGCCTCCTCAGAGGCAGCATATTTTAAAGGACAAGATCTGATGTGACATGTGACATCAGAGCCACAGACAGAGTTGATTTATCCACAAAGGTGCAGATGTCAGACAATAAATACCATCCATGATGTCCCCGAAGTTCAGTCCGTTCACACTCAGATCCTTCGTGGTTTTCAAAACCAGAACTAGTGACACCTTCACTTTATTTCTGTCTGGTTGTACCTTGTTCATGTAGACACTACAAACTGAAACTGAAATCTTATATCACTCCAGGGGGCGCCCCACCCTATCTGACAAACATGTGGACATTATGTAACTAGTTTTTTTTTTAATTAGTGAAACAAACATTAGCACAATGGAAAACACATACATTAAATGGTCATGTTAAAAGTGTATGTATTTGTGTACTTTTATATTGTACTGCAGTATGAATATTGTCACACCAGTCAATGCTACTAACCACGTCAAGTCATTTCAGCTATTGTATTTAAATGAAAACTATGATCCAGTCCCACAGTGTCTTCACTTCACACTGTAACATGTCACTTCTTCGAACTCAACTTCTTAAACTTGACTGCCGGCTCTCTCGACAACTGTAACGTACTGTCAGTGTTCTCCACCTCGACGTAATCCTTGTGCTCGGTTGAAGAGGCAAAGATGTCAGAGAGCAGGTACCTCTCCTCCTCTGAGTCCTCCTCAATCTTCTGCTGCTGCTGCTCCTGCCTTGCCTCCTTCATCTTCCTCAGTTGCTCCACCAGCAGAGGAACCTCCCTGTCATGCAAGATGTCAATGATTTCTGAGGACAGGAGACAATGACAGAATAAGAGAAGAACAGCACATGTAATACACAGATATATGAATACAAAAAAAGTATAAACACAAACCAATATGGTTTACTGTACATATATAGACACACATATAGGCAATATATACAATGTATATTGTGTAACTGCAGCATCATCATTGGTGACACAGATTAGTAACACAACAGCACCACACTGAAGTATGCGCTGATGTATCCATTGAAGTATGCACTGAAGTACTGGCAGGTACAGATAACAGCACTGACCTCCACAAGTTAATTTGGTCCAATGGTGAACTCTGGAAACTTTCAAGCGGTGAAAAGTCTTCTGTAGACAAACGGGAGTCGCATTCCTGTAACACACACACACACACACACACACCACTGTTACTACTACCAGTATTACGCAATACTACAGCTACTGCGGCTGTAGTCACAGTACACTAAAATATTAGGAGTTTGACATTTGATCTCACCCAACGCACTGGGCTACTTCATCCCAGTCGATCAGCGCAGCGTCGTCTACACCCTTGTTGTACAATCTGAAACAACACGTACATGTAGCCTTCATATCAAGTAACGGGAGAGCACATGACCAACGAGAACAGACTGATACAAGCTACGACACATGTACAAGATACGAGGTTGAAAGCCTGATCTTACGTGTTGATGAGGTTGATTTTGGCCTGGATTCCTTCAGGTCCTTTTTTGAAGGTGCTGCCAATGGACGACAGTTTGGTCTTCAGGATGGAGAACCTGGAACAGAAGAACAGCATTAGACCAGAGCTCACGAGTACCTGGGTGGTTTAATTTGATGAGACTTCAGACAGGGTCAAGAAGTCAAGAGAGGACTCAGTCTTCTATCCAACACCCCCAGATATACTGACCACTTGAGGCGACATTGGCACCAGGATCTGGTTCCGACCTGCTGACTGATCTTCTTCCAGGGCAGATTGTTACACAGCTGCTCTCTGGTCAGACGAGAACCTTCGGGATTCTGCTCGGCCACGATCTTCAGGTGAGCCCTCAGAGCCTCCTTCAGTTTGGACTCTTCGTCTGAACTCCATGAGCCGTGACCTTGGACTGCATCAGCGTGAACAGGTCACATTTAATTTAATTTGATTTGAAAAATTAAAAACATTTAGTTGGTTTTATTAAATATACAAATATATATACATATACATACACATATGTATACATACTGTACAAACTGTATATCAAAGTACTTTGTGTTTTACCTAAGGTTGCAAAGCGTTTCTCTAAAGCGTAGATGCTGCGGCCCATCTTTGCAGCGATCGTCTTCCAGTCGTTACCGTGGAGCGTCTGTAATTTGACCAGAGAACTAATCTCGTCCTCTGTGAATCTGGGAGAAGGAAACACAAGGTACATGGTGTCAAAGAAAACAATAAAACAGAATGAAATTAATTATGTATATGATAGTGATATGTACTCAACATTTAAGATTCACTAATAACAATAATAATAAATAATTTTATTATATAACTATAATTAGCCGACCTTCCCATGTGGTTTCTGTCGTCAAACAGCTTCTTAGCTCTGACGTAAACTTGATGGCATGTCCTTGGAATTCCTTCAGCTGATAGAAAAACAACATGATCAGGTGATGTGAATCGAGAGACAGAATTCGATTTAAAACCAGAATTCGATTCACTGGCGACACTGGGTTTATGCTCAAAGTTAAGTGCGTACACGGCCTGTCTGCCTTATGTGCAAAACGTGGTTTATTTTATATTAAATGGCGCAGTACCACTGGAAACCGGGGGGGCGATGTTGCGCATTTTTATGTCTTCCACCATGACCTGTAAATACTATCCATGTTCATTACCGTCTGAGAAACTGAGGTCAGCAAAGAAATAAATTCTTGTCCTAGCACTGCCCCTAGTAGATTTATGGCGTAAAAGCCTAACACAAAATGTGTTTAAATGACGTTTGAAACAGACAGACCTGTGGATGTAGATTAAGGGAGAATAAACTAGGCTTGAGGAAGAGCTGAGAACAGAACTGTTTTCATACCAATCCTCTCAAAGAACCGATGCTGCACTCTCAGCTTCTTGGTGTGCGCCGTCTGCTCCTTGAATCTCTCGGGGAAAAACAACTGAGTGGCTGAAGTGATGCCAGTCAGAACCTGGAAGTCTGACACGTTCTTTCTGATCCGCTGAGTCTCCTCCTCTGTGCACCTCCCGTTACGTACTGAGATTCCTGAAGAGAACCAGATAAATATATTTTTTTTAAACTTAATGAAGTAATCTATCATTTATGTGTTTATATGTTTATATAAGTGTTTGTAATCATGTTGGTCTGTAGGACCCTTACCCTGCGCTTTGAAGTCCCTGAAGCGCTGCAGGTCGTACCGCAGCAGCTTGTTGATCTCCTCCACCGATCTTTTCTTCACATTAGGAATAAACTCTTGCAGCTCCTCCAACCTGGTAACAGACCAATGACAATTACACTTTGTTTTGGCATTTAGTACATTTTTAAGACTATTTAAATAAAGTTACATGGAGAGCGTATTTTCATTTTTTTGAGACTTCACATTTCAGTGCTAACAATTGCACACAGGAAGAAAACTCACTCGTCGTAATCTTCAGTGACCGGTTCACACCATGTCTCTTTATTCACATTTTCACCCTCGTCTGCAGGCTCTTCCGTATCTTCTTCATTTTCTCCTCTCTCCTCGTGGATCTCCTTTTTCTTCTTCTTCTTCTTCTTTTTCTGACTGTTTACCTCTACATGAGCATCAGCAGGAGATACATTGGAGAGGCCCCTGCTCTCTTTTAGTTTCTTTTTCTTGCTGTTCTTTACTTTCTCGGTTGTGTCTATGTCTACTGCCACAGGAGCTCGCTCCGGACTCAACGACCTCTTCCTTTTCTTTTTTGACTTTTTCGGAGTAGAACTGAGGGACCCTTCAGGAGAATTCATTGTGTTTTGCAAATGGTTGATGCTAAAACAGAAGAAGAAAAAGTTTCCGTCATCATATCGTATAGAAGGCTTAGTGAGTGTTTTGTTTATCTGGCCAGTGTTCTACGTACTTAGTAATACCGATATTCTCTTGCTTTAGTGCAAGCTAACCAACTTTAGCTTCATCATGTGTTTGTACTAATGTATCTAAAAACTGAAAAACCTACATAATAATAATACATTCCCTGAACGCACACGCTTCGAACACAAGCGCAACGAGTGTTTACTTACTCTGCCCTGTCGCATATTCAGTAGTTGACCGATAAAAGTAAGTTTTAAAAATTAAAGATTTCCTTACCGTACTTTAATGTGCAGCCCGCGGTAGAAACGCAGTACAGCGAGTCACACGTTGTTTGCCGTAAATTTACTTCCGGTTTACGACAGGAGTGGAGGAGGAGTGAGAGCAGACGGAGACGTTTTTCGACCTTTTTCTTCTTTTTCTTTCGGCCTTGTCCCTTTTTTTCAGGGGTTGCCACAGTAAATCGTTGATTTCCATCTCTCCCTGTTCTCTGTATCTTCTACTCTGACTCCTACTATCTGCATGTCCTCCCTCACTACATCCGTATATCTCCTCTTTGTCTCCTACCTGGTAGCTTCAACTCTAACATTCTTCTACCAGTGTATCTACTGTCCCTCCTCTGCACATGTCCAAACCGTTTCAATCTGGCTTCTCTAGCTTTTTCTCCAAACCTTCCTGTCTGTGTTGTCCCTCTAATGACCTCATTCCTGATCCTGTCCATTCTTGTCACTCCTAAAGAGAATCTTAGCATCTTTAACTCTGTCACCTCCAGCTCCGCCTCCTGTCTTCTGTCTATTGCTACCGTCTCTAAACCATACATCATGGCTGGTCTCACCACTGTCCTGTAAACCTTTCCCTTCCCCTTAGCTGACACTCTTCTGTCACAGATCACTCCTGACACTTTTCTCCAGCTCTTCCATCCTGCCTGTACTCTATTCTTCACCTCTCTTCCACAGTCTCCGCTGCTCTGAACAGTTGATCCTAAGTACCTAAACTCCTGCACCTTCACCACCTCTGCTCCTTGTAACCTCACTATTTCACTGCTCTGCCTTTCGTTTACACACACATACTCTGTCTTGCTGCGACTGACCTTCCATTACCATTCACCGTATACACACAAGATTGCCGTAAATAGTTTTAAGGTTTTTACTGCGTTACTAAACTTATTTTTTTAAATTATGAACCCAAATGCTTAAATTTGTATCCATGAATGAAATTAAAAATTCTACGTTCACTATTTTGTTTCACAATCGGATTTTTAAAGATAGTGAATAAAATTTAGAATGTAGCGGTTAATTGAAATTCCGATACCTAGATATTCTGAGACAAATTTAAAGAAAAAAATATTTTAATATATATATTATTTTGAATATAAATACATCTCCAAAATCGTGTTTCCAAAAGAAAATTTTAATTTTCCAAGATTTACTAATTGTTAGGTAGGTTTACAACAACAACCAGAGGACAGTACGGCTGGTCCATGTAGGACCATTCAATGTTCTTTACACCTTACATTTTCAAAGTCTAGACAACTTGTAGTTACTGATGTCAGTGTGGAAATTCCTCAGATCTGAACATATAACCTACGTAAGCTTGTTTGTTAGGTCTTGTTTCAGTCATGATCTGGACCAGTTTGAACACTTCTGGTTAATTTAATATGAGATTATCTCATCCACGTGGATGAAGAATGACAGAATGACAATAAGGAGCAAAACACGACAGTTAATGGACCAGAGGAGAACACGGAACCACTGTTTCCATGCATCCGCACTGACGTTTAGACCCTGGTTCCACTGAATCCTGTTGTTACACCGAAGGAAGAATCAGATCGTGTTGTTGGAAACACAGAAATTGTACACAGCCTCTGTGCCTCCAGACCGTGGTGCTCATCAGTGATGATGATGATGATGACGCCCAGAGGAGATGCTTGAGTGATTGTCATTGTTGTCCTCTGTGGGTGACATCAGCACTGAGGCTCTCTGCTCATCCATCCTCCGAGACTGGACTCTGTGGATAAGACTGAAGAAATCCTCCTGAGCGTCAGGAAGGAGCCCGGCCACATCCTCCAGGTCTGGGAGGGAACAACGCTGGTCCTCCATTCTGTCAGACTAGGTCAGAGGATGGGTGGACAAGACGTGAGGCACACGAATGTATGATGTATTCATTAAAAAACACAACCTGTAGGTAGGACATGTGACTACCTGATAATCTATAAGCATGTAGTAGAAGTCCATAGTGGGAGCATGGGGCTGGTTGAGGTTGCAGGTTTCACACAGAGCAGCTGCTCCTGGATCGGGCAGCAAACTGAGACTCGCTCTCTGGTCGTTCAGTCTCTGACCCTGGGACTCCAGGATCAGGTCTAGTAAGGCTTCCGGTTCCTCCTGCTGGCTGCCCCGACGCTGAAGAAGAAGAAGTCAGTCAACAGTATTAAAAAGCAAGAGCTCAAAAGACAACTTTACCAAAGTTACCCTGGCTCTGGCAGCTGTTCTCATTCTGGAACTTAAAGATGAACCAAGGCTTTGACCCCTGGGTCTGGGAAAGGCAGCCTCTCGTACAGATGTCACAAAATCTCCAAGGGCTCTGAAATGTGAGGGGGGGTCTGATGTCCTGCTGCTAGAACGGAGATGCTGAAGGACAGGAGAACCGGTACCAGAACTTTGGGCTCCTTCGAATTGGTCCACTACACCATTTTGATGAGGGAGTGGAGAACTTTGGGGAACTGTTTCCCCAATTTGTCCATTCTGATGTGAAGGTGAAGACATGGAGGGAGATGGTCCGTTGGAGTACTTTCTGTCAGCCATGATGGTGCAGTAATGGTGATGTCATCAAGGTAAAGAGCTGAAGTGAGAGTGTAGGTTAGAGATCAAACCACAGTTGGTCTTAGATCGTGGTACATAGGTAACTGTGCTGGCCGTTGCTTTAAAAGTACCGGTAAGTACCAGTTGAAGTGGTGGTGTTCAGATTAAAAAGAGATGAACAGAAGTATTTTGTCAATAGAACTCGATTCTTTTATCTGTGCAATGTTGGATGTTGAAGACGGTGTAACGTATCTTACACGGATATAAATACAATATTTTGTGTATTCTATTTATAACTACTGAGTTATCTTAGCTTAGCGTGCGAGGCGCTTACTAGCAAAGATGCTACAAAGAAGAGGCTTTATATTTCTCATCTTTACGTTATTATTAGCAGCATCAGCAGCAGCATCAATTAAGTCACTTATAACATCCCCAAACACCTGGCCTCCATCCTTTCACCATTGGTCGGGGACACATCTCACCACATAGCCAACTCACAGGACTTCACCAACAAGTTAAGGGGGCTAAAACTGGACACATATGAGACCATGGTCTCCTACGACATCACATCACTTTTTACATACATCCCCAGCACAGAGGCAGTAGCAACAATGAGGATGCGCTTACTTCAAGATCACACCATGCCGGTAAGAACCACCCTGACCATTGACCACATTTGTGTCCATTTGGATTTCCGCCTCACCACCACTACTTCCAGTTCAACAAGTCCTTCTACAGACAGAAACATGGCTGTGGATATGGGCTCGCCTGTGTCTCCCATAGTGGCGAATCTCTACATGGAGGAAGTGGAGAGCCGAGCTCTACACTCCTACATGGGAACGTCACCCAGCCACTGGTTCCGATATGTGGACAACACTTGGGTCAAGATCAAGGTCCATGAGGTCGACAACTTCACAGACCACATCAACGCAGTGGATAGGAACATCAAGTTCACCAGAGAAGATGTGAAAAACAACAGTCTTACATTCCTGGACTGTGCGGTTCACATCTCAGAGGACAGACAACTCAACACAGGAAACCAACCCACACCGACCAGTATCTCCATTTTGACTCACACCTCCCACTGGAGCACAAATTAGGAGTCGTCAGAACCCTACAGTCACGGGCAGACACCATTCCCACCACCAACAGAGGTTAGATGAGAGAACAGGGACACATTAGGACAGATCTCAAGATCTGTGGCTATCCCAGATGGGCTTTTTTAAAAACAAACAAAAAGAGGCCCACTTAGGAGGATCTTTAACCAACACCAGATCCCCGTACACTTCAAACCTGACAACACCCTAAGACAAAAACTGGTTCATCTCTAAGAAACAAGCTGGACAATGTGGATTATGCCGTTCAGTGCAGTGAGGAGTGTACGGACCTGTACATTGGGGAGACTAAACAACCGCTACACCTGCGCATGGCCCAACACAGGAGGACCAACTCCTAAGGACAGGACTCAGCTGTTCACATACACCTCAAGGACAAAACACACTCCTTTGAGGACAACAATGTACACATTTTGGCCAGGGAAGACAGATGGTTTGAGAGAGGGGCCACTTTTAAAAGAAGCCATTTTTGTCCACCTGGAAAAACCAGGAGGTGGACTCAGACACAACCTATCACCCACTTACAAAGCACTTTTAGGAACAATACCCAAAAGTTTCACCTCAGTTTCACACAACAAAGAGGCAGGTGACAGAAATCGTTCTGATGGGGACCACAACGGCCCGTCCGACTCTTTACGACTGTTTACACTTTCACAGTTGACCCCAAGGCCCCACCCAACAGGGTGGAGCTGATGTAGCTTTACTCTTTCACACCTAGAGTATATATCTGCTGTACTCCCCACCACCAGTTAGAACTGAAGAAGCCTCTTAGATTAGAGGTGAAACGTCTTCTTTTAGAAAATTCACATCCAGTTGCCTAACAGAACTTTTTTAACTTACTGTTATGATGGTTTCTCACAGCTTCGCCAGGTCGTCAGACTGAGAGTTTGGTCCAGATTTATTTAGTCTAGATCCAGTCTAGTCTGGACAAAGGATCTCTAGTTTCCTGCAAGATCAGAATAAATCAGTCTGGATTAAGTTAGTCTGGATCAACGTAGAACAGGTCTTTGCTGATTTAAGAAAATATTAAAGGTGACCAGACTTCTTTTTCGACTCAGTTAGTCCGACCTCAACTTTCCAGCTCCCAAATTTAAAAAAGTAAAAATGAAGTTAGTGAGAAGCAAACCAACGTTTGTGTTCCAAAAGTACTGCTCTCAAATCAGAACGACAAAAAACCAACAACATCCGACACCCGACAGAGAAGAAGAAGAAGTTGAAACAAAGTTAAATCATTTCACCAGATGAATTCAGTTTTCACTTCAACGTCATAGTCTCGTCGTTTTCCAGTGAGAACTCCTTCGTTTGTGTTTTCTTCTCTTTTAGGTCGTTACTCTTGTCTCATTTGCTGGAGTCCCTCTATCCACAGTGACACAAACACACACACACACAATGATACACACATACTGACACAATGAAAGAGAAAGCGGGCAACCCCCCCCAGCTTACATCACGGTTACTATGGTAACCCAAGAGAGGCTCCAAATCCTGGCTCACTCTGCCCATGCACACTAACACACACTCTCTCTCTTTCTCTCTCTCTCTCTCTCTCTCGCTGACAAACACACTCTTTTACACATTCCTGCATTTTTGCGAAGTAGTCAGTAGAACCTAGAAAGAGCTATTCTTCAGTTGTGGGCCTCACAAAAAAACATTTAAAAACACACTCGCAGATATGAATACAGAGTATTAGATTCCGAGCACTTTATTAAAGCACTTTTTTGTTGATAATTTAAATAATCACCAAAGAAAGTTGGACGTCTCTTTTGTGCCGTCTCTACCACACCCTGGTTTTGCGGAATGACGTGAAGTTTTGTGGTATTAGCACAACGTAAAAACTGATAGACTAAAACTGTAGATTTGTAGATAAATTGCTTTAAATTATGTTGTGAATTTAATGTAAATTTAAAGTGGGACAAGAAGAGCATTTAAGGGCAATAAAACATGCGAGTAATGCAAAAAGTCAGTTTGTCCATTTTGCCCCTAGATGTCACCCTTACTGTGTCCTAACAAGTTCTGAGAGATGGTAATGTCCAGTCAGTGTGGAGAGAGTCAAAGGCTGACTCGGTGACTAAAAGTGACTAAAACTACGGTATACGCACACTGTGTGTTTGTACATATTTCTGGTAAAGGAATACTGGAGGGGACATGGTTTGGAAAGTGAATGGTGGGGACACAATGTCCTACATCCAGGCCTCTTCTTTCTCTGATTTTCCTAAAACATCACTTCAAGCTTTTTTGGACTTTTGTCCTTTATCAACCTAACCTGCTGTAAGTTTTCTCTTATGTGTTTTTATTATTCTTTTCATTCCCAGACCTTCCCTTAACTCTTCCCTCAACCTTCTGCCTGTTCTGACACAACCAATTATTTGGGCTTAGTACTACCACCAGGAGAAAAAAAACATGCTGCCCCCTGTGGTTGGGTTTGTGGGGGGTTTGTATATGGAGACTGAAAATAGCTCCAGTGGTAATCAGTGTCCTTATCACAGCAGGGAATGTTAATGACTCGGATGGTTTCCATATCAGACCAACACCTCAGGAGAGGGAGACAGTGAGTTCATGTCTAAAGGTTGGACCTGAATTTAATATTTGGAGGAAATATTAAATAAATACTTCAAAAAATACTTTTATAAATGTGTAGATTATCAAACCTGGAAGTATTAGAATTTGATTTGATGTCCACGGTACTGTGTAAATGTGGTATTTGTAGTAAATGTAGGTATATTTCCTGTCGCACAGTAAGTTGGTTTCCTTATTTTTCCATTTCTTTGGATTCAAATGAAACAGCAGCTCCTAAAAGGTTTTCCTCTGGTTCTGGAAGCTTCTTATCTTTAAGTGTTTCTATTCCAGTTTTCTTCCATCTTTGGTCGACCGTTCTCGCCTCTCCCTCCGTCACTCTCACTCCGCCTCTGGCTCTTATAAAACAGCCAACATCCCCACCTCTCTGTGTCCTTCAGCCCTGCAGCAGGATGGCTCCAAAGAAAGTGGAACCAAAAAAGACAGAGGTGAAGAAGGTGGAGGTGAAGAAAGAGGAGCCTCCTCCACCTCCGAAGCCGGCGGAGCCAAAACCTCCAGAGGTGGACCTGAAGAGCATCGTGGTGGAATTCACCGCGGATCAGATCGAGGAGTTCAAAGACGCCTTCACGCTGTTCGACGAGACGCCCGCGGGTGAGATGAAGATCACCTACACCCAGTGCGGAGACGTGATGCGAGCGCTGGGTCACAACCCAACCAACGACGAGGTGTTGAAGCTCCTTGGGCGGCCAAAGGCGGAGGAGATGAACGTCAAGATGCTGGACTTCGACACCTTCCTGCCCATGCTGCAGCACGTGGCCCGGACCAAAGAGCAGGGGAACTTTGAAGACTTCGTGGAGGGTCTGAGGGTTTTTGACAAGGAGGGAAACGGCACAGTGATGGGGGCCGAGCTCCGCCACGTCCTCGCCACGCTGGGAGAGAAGATGACCGAGAATGAGGTGGACCGGTTGATGGTGGGACAGGAGGACGCCAACGGACACATCAACTACACTGAGTTTGTCAAACACATCCTTGCTGGTTAGAAAAAAAAAAGTTTTGTGGACTTTTTTTGTCCTTTGTCCTGCAGGAAATAAACCTGACGCTGGTCATGACAGAAACGTGTTGTTGTGTGGTCAGTTTTTTTAAAGCAATAAAATTATTACTGTGGTTTATAAACAAACAAAAAGCATGTAGAGTAATGTTAATTATCTACTATATCTATCTGTTAAGTGTCTACATTTTCTTCGTAGCCTTTTTTTTAAACAAAGCAAATGTTGATTCTTAAAATTAAACTGCAGGTGAATGGGATTAAAAAAAAGGGGGGGGGGGCGTGGACTGGAAGTGGAACTGATGAGCTGCCGCAGCCAGGGCAGAGGGTGAGTTTATGCTCCACACGGAGGTGGTCTCACTTGGGACCGCCGATAAAACCACAGGTAGTGCGTCTCTCAGAGCCACAATTTATTGATGGTTTCCTTCAAACTCATCAAACAAGTCAATAACAGGTGAACGGACACAGGTACAGATTGACCGTCGGTTAATTACAGTTAAAAGAGTCAGAAACTCAGAAACACTTTTTCTAAAATCTGTTTTAAAACATCTGCAAATAAAAAACAGGAGTTATTTTTTAGTCCTACGTCTCACAGGTCTGTACATCAGAGTCACATGAACGGTCAGTTTGCGGTAGTAGCGTGAAGTAGTACAGGTAACTGTTTAAATCCAACCAGCGACACCGACCGAACCTCAGAGCCTCAGGTGTGGATCAACGGTTCTAATAAAGACGTTTCCTCAAAAATTTTCATCTTTTGTCAAGATCGCAGCCATGAAAATATCAGGTCAAACTTTCAAACTTTTTTTAGCCCGCTGTTACATGAACGTGGATGTTCCGTGTTGACACACAAGCTAGCGGCTCTACAGTGTTGATGTTGATCCAAATGCCAAAAGTGTTAGCATGCTAATCTTTAGTAGCAGCTACAATGCTCAGCGAGTTAACTATCTAGAACTCACAGCATGCTAAAACAAAGTGTGCGTACATACAGCACATGCTAATGTGAGCTCAAAGCTATAAACACGGTGACACAAGTGACTATTATTTCAGTCTAAAACAAACCTGTTAAGGACTAAAAAAATAACAAATTAATCCAGAGGTGAAATTCTCTGACTATAAGAATGACGACATTGCATCCCACATTTCCCACAATGCACTTGGATATGCCATTTTTCCAGCTTTTTCAGCTAGCCAATCACAGCCTCTGATCAGATCAGAGCTTCTGTCCCGTTGTCAGTCATGACTGACCGACAGACACAGGCCCACTCTGATTGGTGGACTCCAGAGCTGTATTCGAAGTCTGATTGGTCAACTGGGCGTAGAGGTGTGACCGGAGAAATCGTGGGTAGCTGTCCGTCTCCATGAGGCTGAAAATCTGATTCTGGGCCAGTTGGAAGGAAGTGGGATTAATCTCCAGACGCAGGTTTTGATTGGTCAGTTCCCTGACCGATGAGTCCACATTTACCTACAGGACAGAGAAAGAAGCAAGTCAGAAGTAAGGCACTAAATACTACAAATATAAATACACAGCGGGCCAGATTTGGCCCCGGACTTGAGTTTGACACATGTGCCTTAGAGCAGTGGTTCTCAAACTTTTTCTACTCTGTACCACCTGAGAAAACATTGATCTCTCTGAGTACCACTATGATTACCAACAATAGAATATAGCAGCATAGGCCTTCACTATTAGCTTCCACCACACAGGAGAGATGTTTAGAAATGTTTAGAAAGATGTTTATGTTTGAATGTTGTACTAATTGTGCATGGTATGTTTCAGATTTATTCAGTTGAAAATGTAAATGTGAAAATGTGAATTTTCCCTACGTAGCACTAGAAAGCGCTCGCATACCACTGGTGCGCTTGTGTACCATAGTTTGAGAACCACTGCCTTAGACCATTCCCAAGACAGATGGACAGACATGCAGTTACCTGTCTGGTTGCCGTGGTGGAAATGAACTCGTCGTAGATTTTTGTAGCTCTGGCGGCCATCTTGCTGACTGGCAGTATTCGTTTGAATTTCTCCACAGCTAACCAAAAGTCCAGGTTCTCGTCGCTGAACTCTGACCGGAGGAAGTGACGAAAAACTGCCAGGCCATCTAAAGAGAAGGAAAGAAGAAGAAGAAGAAGAAGAGACTTTAGACTGATCATTCAAACTCAAGGAAAACCAGTCTGTGCAGAAGAACAGTTTCTTACACTGATTGGACAGTAAAGCTTCCAGATTGTCGGCCCATCGCAGCACTTCTGCAGGAGACGGCCTGGAGAAAAAAAACACTTTAATCAGAATGTAAACACAAAAAGTAACTAATTTAATAAGACTCTAATGCAGTGTTTCCCAAACTTTTTTCCGGGGACCTATAATTTAAAAATCGCAAACCTTCACGACTCAAGTCAATAGACATTATTCGTAAACTCCTTGGAAAATTGATGCGTGACGACCCCAAAAAAAATTCTCTTGTGACCCACCTGAGGGTCGCGACCCAGTCTTTGGGAAACAATCCTCCAATGAACCATTTTAAAACCAATAACAACCATCTTTCTACATGAGCTCACTGCGTCTTTCTGACAGTTCAGGTCAGACTTGTTGTTTACCTGTTGTTTTTCAAAGCTTTCTCCAAACTGTTTCCATGGACACGGGTGCAGTTTTTACGGCGCCGCAGAAATGCTAGACGACTTCGAACATCAGCAGCTCTGGATGAAGAAAGTTTGAAGAAAGAATTTTTTTTTTTAAAAAGAACAATGACATCAGATAATTAATAACCAAAGAAGAGTGAGAGTTGACAGTTGACGTACAGACTCTTGGTTTTCTTTCTCAGGTGAAGGTTTCCAAACTCCGACTCCTGAACACAACAAATGGACAGACTGTCAGGCACAGTTTGATTCTTTGAGGCTCGATTAATGATGTCTACATTTCCTGATAATCTGGTCTAAATTGTGTTTTTTCCACCGCTAACTTCCTGTTTCTACTGCTCTGTACTTGGTTTGTCTTAGTTCACTGTGAAATACTGACCCCTTTTGGTTTGTCTTTACCTTGGTGCCGTTGACCAGGAGTAACATGTGGTGCAGGGACACGCCCTCCTTGGTCAGCTGCTTCTTCAGGGTGCGGGGAGAAGGAGGCTGTGTTCGGATGCCCGAATCGGGGTCAGTGTCAAAGGTCAAAGGACGAGTCAGCCGATGGATGGTGCTGTCAGACAGGAAGCGGGGGGACCGAGGTTCCTGCAGCAGAGAACCTTCTGAGAGCGAGCGCCGGAGAACTGAGAAACAAACAGTCGATTGTTTCAACACTCTTGTCTCTTGAATGGTTTGTTTTGAGAAATGTATTTAAAGAACACACTTCAGGTTTTGGTATATTCTTTTAGCTCCGACTTTGTCGGTAACACGTTTCACTGTATGAATGTTTGAAGGAAAGGAATTACCAAAAAAAACAAAAAAACATTACAGCCACAGTTACTAAACTTTTATATATATGCTATTTTTAATCATTATAAACCTAATTAGCAAATTATTTACGATATCTTATGGGCTGTACATTCCACCGGAGTAATGAGGAAGAAGAAAACACATTCTCAAGTTTGTCCGTTAGTTTTTTTCTCTGCTGCTACATTCCTGTTTTTGGCTCCATATTTTAAAATCTGTAGTTTGACTTTTTCAGTATTGAATTCATATTCTTTACGGTCGCGTTTTATAATGAAGTCCTCATATCATCATTAGTGCAATTCTTAGCGGTACAGTCGCAGAGTTAACTTGTCACGAGTGTAAACGCTGTCCTCTTGTGGCGATAAATGGCATGACATTTTTCATACGCAAGACTCTGGAGCAACAAATTAGAAATTTTACAGTCGTTTTAGCTCTGAACGAGTTTCTCTCACTCACTTTTTATTGATGTAATTATGAAAAAATTTAAATAAAAAATAATAAAATATACACTAGATTTACCTTACAGGTAAAATACAGAAATAAGTTGTTTATTTTCATCGCTTGACTGTTTTGTATCAAACTCACCTGCAGGTCTGTAGGTGGAGATAAACTCCTCCGTATCTCCTCCCTCCTCTTCCTCCTCATCATCACTCCCATCGTCCTCGTCCTGCTTCGCTTGCATGTCATATAGGTGGCTAAACCGGACGTTCTGTCCCCGCAGGATCCCTGTGGTTTCTGATGTCTCTGAGGCACTCTCCCCCTCACCTTGCTGCCTCTCCCCTACCACCTCGCTCTCCTCCTCCTGCCTCCTCCTCTTCTTTCTCTCGTCCTCTTCCGTCTCCGCTCTCCCTCTCTCCTTCCAGACTGGACTCCTGTGGGTGGAAGAGGAGGGCGCAGTGGGCAGCGGTGGGAAAAGAGGTAAAGCTGAGATGTTCCTTGGGGGAGGTGAGGAGGAGGAAGTGTAGGGAGAAAGAGTGGAGAAAGGCGCAGGGGGAGGAGTGGAGGAGGAGCAAGGAGAGCTGGGGGAGTAAGGCAAGGGGGACGGAGGCCTGAGGTCATCACGGGGGGAGTAGTAATGGTGGGGCTGGACATGGGGGACCTCGGTGGAGGCGTAAGGAGAGGAGGGACGGTAGAGGAGGTCGGACGGGCCGAGCGAGAGGAGACCGAAGTCGGAAGGAAGTTCTGAGAGCTGAGGGAGAAGAGGAGAAATAAGTCCCAGAGGAAGGACAGATGTGGGATCACACTGCTCTCACATGGACGTGGTGAAAAGTGAAGATGAAAAATTAAAGAATTTAAGATTCAAATTTCAAGATCTTTAATAGTCACTGTTAGCAAACAGCAGTTTAGCGGCTGCTATTAGCAACACACTAACCGTCTAATCCACCTTCAGAACCACTTGTACATGTGAGCCTTCTGTCACGTGTTCAGAGACGTCACCTGATGGCTGTGCGAGGCCTCGGTGCTGACCAGCTGGCGATGGATGTTGTCGTAGAGACACAGACGGACTCTGATCTTCTGTTCGATGCTGAACGACTCCAGACTGAGGACGCAGCGGTAACACGTCTGGGAGGAGGTCTGCATGACGTAGATGTGGAGGGGATGTGACGGCACTGGACGTGATAGAGGACAGAGAGGTTAAAGGCGACAGCCATGACACGGAGTCACTCATTTCAAGTACATCTGATTTTTCAATGATTGAAAATCATTATTTTTTTCCAAGATTTCCACGACACGGGAACACTGACAAACAGAAATACCTTCTCTGAGCTGCAGTGTGTTCAGGTACAGTGGACTCTGTAGGACATTGCAGCGTTCAACTTCGTCCTCTCTGGTCAACAGCATCAGGTCGTTGTATATTAAAACCGTCACCTGAAACACAAAAGGAAATATTTGCTGGTTGGTCATTTTGACCCATTGATTTTTTTTTTTTAAACAAAGTGCTGTCATAAATTCCCAGACGCTACATCAGCGTTACTTTAGTAACATTAGCCACGAACAACTGTGCTAACTTGCAAAAGCATGAACAGCAGGACAGTTCAATTACACAGTACATTCAGTTGGGTCGAACAACCTCTAGGATGATGACACAATATGGACCACAACAGAAATATATCTTTGTCAAATAAATAACTGGGCCACTTTGAGGTTGTTTCTGGCCCACATTTGGCCCCTGGGCCATCATTTTTACCAACAGGATGTAGAGTATGTGAATGTAAAAGCTTTTTTTTCTGTTTTATTTTATATCATTCTGAAGATGTGGGCTCACCTGTGGCAGAACTATAAATTCTCAACATTGCCGTGGAAACGGATACTTTCACTTACAGGAAACATCAGCGTGACTTCAGACACACAAATGAGACCAGTATGACCTCTGACCTCTGTCAAAGTCCACCGTGTTTCTTGTCTTCACTTTTGAAGAAAATATGAAACTACAGCACTGCAGATTCCCAGAAACTCTGCGTATGTGTGTGTATCAGCGGTTTTATCAATATGATCCATTACAGTGACACTGATCCTGGTTCAGCTCCTGCAGGTCACTACGTCCTACAGGATCAGGTTCAGTCTGAATCAATAATCATGACCACAGGTTTGTCCGCTGAACCCTTTGTCAGTACTGACGAAGAGTACACAACAGTACTGCTAACAGTTGTGTGTTCACAGGTTTTTACCAAGATGTCCATCCATCCATCCATCCATTTTCATCCGCTTATCTGTTACCAGGTCACGGGGGCAGCAGTCTCTATGACCGCCACCCAAATCACATTGCACCGTACCAACTCCCCTAAACCTTCCTGTGGTTGGTGAGTCCACTGGAAGGTACCAACCGCCCTAACCGGGATTCGATCTTGCCCAGGAGGTGAACCCTGGGGTTCTACACCAATGACAGAGACAGGCCTCTGGGCCAAAGCGCCACCTCTACCAAGATGTCATTTTATGTAAAAAAAAGGTACTGAATGAAGTACCAGGTACTGAGCATTGTCAACTGTTGTGGCACTGTGCCTTTAACAAGCACCTTCACGTCTCTCTACAACAGGGGGCGTCAAACTCATTCACGGGCCACATGCAACCTAATTAGCTGTCAAGTGGGCCATACCAGTACAATTATCACCAGTGTAATCATAATAATAATTAACTATCAATAAGTCCATGTTTTTATGCAAACACATACAAGTATATTAAATATATATTATTATTTATTCATATCTTATGAAATAGAATTTTTCAAAAAATATCCTGAACATAAAGTGTATTTTCTTTTTCAAAATCCATTAAGTGGACCGGACTGAACTGCCAAGCGGGCTGATTTTGGCCCCAAGCCCATATGTTTGACACCACTGCTCTACAGCACTGGTTGCACGGTACCGGCCAGTAATGAGGACCGGTGGCACCGTGTCTATCGTGGAAGGATCATAAAACTTTCAAAATAAAATTTAGTCTTTATTTTGTTAGTATCAGAGTCTGGATGACATTTTATTTTGAAATATTGACAGATTATCACTGGGTTCTTTTTTTACTAATTTAGTACTAAGTACTAAATTTTACTTATTTAGTAGATTAATCACTCATTCTAGACTTGTTTCTTTAGAAATTGCCAGATTATCTTCAAATGAAGAAAAATAAATAGTGAGTGGATTCTCTTTGCATTAAGTAAATTATTAAAAAAACTTGTCCCTCTGTGGCCCAGTATAGGTCTGCGGACGAAGGGGTTTGGAATCCATGCTCTAAAATACTGTAGATACTTAA